GCATAATAAAAATAAAACCATACACCACAAATTAACAGTATTAAATTATGATGAATAAGTTTAAAACAAAGAACAAAACAACGATATTATTATTATTTATTGGTAAACAATCATATTGGAAARTGTGATAAAAAGAGATAGCAACACCATTCTTATCTGCTGTCTTTTTTTAACAGGCTATCTCGGTTATGTTTACATTGGTCTTATGGCGGGTGAGCATTCCAGTTATYATATATAGTTCAATGGTTGAATGAGTCATATTATGTTCATCAAAGTAGCCTAAAAGCAATATTTCTTTTTGTCTAGTTTGGTTATTAATAATTATTTTTAACTTTTATGTTTTAGTTTCTATTAATGATCCTTTACTGAACATTAAACAAAATAGTAAAGGGGATAGTAAAATACAACGTAGATCATTTTATTTACGGTTGGTCAAGAAAGTGGTTTCTCGTGATGAACAACCAGAGTTTGAGTTGGTACATGTGATGGGAACATTAATGATTCAACAATCTGATTCAAAAAGTATTTAAATACCTATAATTGCTGTTTATAAAAAAATAACTCATAGCATTTAATTAAACATAAAATTTTGCGTTCTCGTAGATTCTGAAGTCACKGAAAACGATGTTGTGTTAAATGCAGTTGTCAGGCCATTCAATGAACGGCGTGTGACTGAAGTATCAATGTTGGAAGCAACTGGTGAAGAATACATAACCAGACATCAAATTGATGGCCGAATTATATATGTTGATCATAGGTAAGCATTTAGTTAATTTCTTAATATTTATACTGTGTATGTTTTAAAATTAAATAACTAAATGTTGGGCTTATATCAATATTACTTTTGTTAAAATTATTAATAACAAATGTTTTTAACCACTGTTAAATTATTATATTAATACAATTTTCTGAAAGTTCTGCACTAAAAATTATCTCTAGACTATGTCAGGATTCTCAAAATTATAGCCCATATTCCACATATTCTGGCACACCAACAAATTTTTACTGGCTTGTTAACTGTTGTGAATAATCAAAAATTATCTATTCATATTATCTTGTTTTTTTTTTCATTGTAATAAAATAGAGATTTGAATTAAAAATAAAATAAAATTACTCTTTATACTTAACTAAACTATGTTGTGGATTTATAATTGAATTTGAACATTTTCTAATCAATTAACTTTAGTTATCATTAATGCGCCTTTTTCTATTTCTAAATATCCATAACTATATTATATAATCACCAATTTTGAATATAGATAAATCAAAAAACCTATTAGTTACAATAATTTTAGATCTACCAATAATATAGCAATACTTTTCAAAATCGTATTAATAAAATATTCTTTATAAATAGTAATTATTGAAGACTGAAATAAACATTGTAAGAAATTATATTATAAACAATAACCTATCCTAACCTAAAGTGATTTTGGAAGTTTTTTTATGTTCTCCAACATATCAAGAATTTTATACTTTTTGATATGCATCTATACTTTGTCTCATATAAGAGTAACCTCAGACTGCATGCTTCTGGCATTGGGTGGGCTAATATGTTAAGACTTGAACAATAAAGTGATTTTTTGGCTGTGATCAATMGTTAAAAAGTAAATTGACAAAAAATCAGTTTATTGATAGTGTGGGTCTAACTTAACAAGACAAAAATCCGTATTTGCCTTGTGGTAACTTTTGTATAAGGCAAAGTAACTATGTTATTTTTTTTAATAATTCTAATTATATTTATAGAATTTCTATTGTATCTGGATTCATGCCTCAAGAAGTATCTGGACAACTGGCATTCAAATACATGCATAAAGATGATGTACGTTGGGTGATGATTGCTCTAAGACAAAGTATATATATTTCCTTTAAAAATATTAATAATATACATAAGGTCTTGATAATCCAACACATGGCACCTGTAGTACTGCAATATTATCAAAAATACTCAATATTTATATAAAATCGGGTAAAAACTAAATTTGGGTATTTGCTTTCATTATATGTTTATTGAGCTACGTTCATATTATGTGAGATATTTAGCGATTAATACTTAATTGTGAAAACGTCCAAATTTATATGAGTAGATAACATTATTACCGCAGACAAATTTACAATATTTGTTGAAATTCCAACATTTATATCTGAAGATTCAATTTTATACATATAACTATTAATAAGATGCAACTGCGCTTATTGTCTCTGTTTTAAAAATGCAATTCATAGCAAATTTTTGTTCTCTAGTTTCAATAGTATGCTGTTAGTTATGTTATTGAGTGAATTGAAATATGATCATACTTTTAGTTAAAAACATTATCTTTGCTTAAGTGTTGGCAATTTTTTGATATTTTCATTTTCAAGCAAAATGAATTATCAAACACTTTTTTAATTAACTTAGATAATATTCTTATGCATGTTCTCTTAAAGTAAAAAATATGCTGCCTTACTGTGAGCGCCGAGAATAGACGCTGTGCCAGATTATCAAAACCTTACTGTTCATTTATATATTATTAAACACATAATTTTTATAATAATTATATGCTTTGTTAGTGTATTTTAAGGGTCAAAGTTTTGGCAGTAGTTGCTATAGATTATTGTCGAAAAATGGAGAATTTGTGTATATGAGAACTCATGGTTTCTTGCAATTAAATCCAAATGAAGATACAATTGAATCCTTCATTTGTGTTAATACCTTGGTGCCCCCAGAACAAGGGAAAAGAGAAATAATTGAAATGAAAAAACGATTTACACCATTAATAGTTGCTGCGTCTGAACCTGGGATTGCTGCAATAACTAATAATCAATTTGTAAGTGGCTATTATTGTTATATTTTAAGTCAAAGTGCTTATTGATCTTTATTACAGATGGAAAAAGAATCTTCAGTGACTTTGGAAGATGTTACTGAAGATCTTAAAACATTAGACAAGGTGGTCGAACAAATGATTATAAATATTCCTGAACCGGCAATTGACAATTTTAAGGTTACTGCGAAGAATCCGGGACCTCTGCCAGATAATCAAGAGTATATGAGGGTTGCACTATTGTCCAAGTCAATACCTCCGGTTTCAGTAGCATCTAATGCACCAAAAATTTATAAGCGATCATCTCTATCCCCTCAACCCAATGTTGTTAAGCCAGTAACTCAGGATCGGCCATCTGTACTTCGAGTGGCCCCACCAATTTCTCGACAACCTGTTCTAGTTTATAATCATCAAACCTATGAAAAAACAACAGAGAAAGATCGAGCTTATTTAGAGCGTAGGGGTGGCATATTTGTCTTACCCAAAAGACAAAATGATTCACAACTAATATTAGATAACTTGCCAAAAAAAGCAAAAATTGTGTTAGACTCACAAGTTGAATCTCCTGCTTGTAGCAATTACAGCAACCAACCAGATTCACTGTCTGACCATCAGCTAACTAAAGAATGTATTGACAATTTTTCAAACTTTCAAGCTGATCCAATCCAACTTATTTCTCACAACATAGATGACCACAATATTATTGGTAATAGTTTATTTTCAAATAATTGGTAGTTACATTTCATATATTATAGTACTTGAAATATGCTTTTTTTATCAGTGTATGAATCATTGACATAAATTTAAATGTTTTCTTGGTTTTTTCAGATCCTTTAATTGCTGATGTGACCGATATTGATCATTTTACGGTAAGATTTTCTCAAATATTTTATAGCTATTACTATCCCGTACTATATCACATTAATAAAATGTTTAATATGTATATTCTAAAACCATTTAAATCTAATATAAACATAACACCCAAGTAAAACTTAATTTATTTTATTTTTGGCTAATTTAAAATGTTCTAATGATCAAATTATTTCATTAAATTATAAGTTAATCATGTATATATTATTATGTATGCCTATATCTGAATAAGCTAAAGAAGAAAAATAAGTTTATTTAGTAATAGCAGTATACATTTAGAGATACACTCACTCCCAACTTAAGTTTTTAAAACTGAATTTAAGACTATTGAACGCAACAAAATTGAGAAGACTTGTAAAAAAGTTTTAATTATTTCATATAATTTCTATTAAATAATTTAATATCTAACTAACTATCGTTTTCCATAAATTTATTGTTTACAATAAGCTAACCTCAACCCCAACCATACCTCTTTTAAAATTAAAATAAAGCTATTTAGCATAAAGATTTACAAATTTTAATCATTAAATTAACTACATTTGTATGTTTTATTAACAAATATTAATTTTTTTTTTTTTAATTTATAAATTATTGATACTCTTAACTATGAATGACTATTTTATTGTTCATTAACTAATTAAAACATTTTTAGAGCTAATGCAAAAAATGTTGTTCTGTGATATACATACATATAATTGATAATATGTAATTTCTCATTAATATAATATGTATAAAATGTGTATTTTAGCTAAAATATATAATAATTTTTTTATATTATCCGTAATTTAAGCACACTGTATAATTTATTTATTATTGTTATAATTATAATTTATTCAGATTACTAATTGTTAGTTATGATTTTATATAAATGTGATTAAATTTGCATATAAATGCATAATTTTTATCTATCATCATGCCCACTGAACTTTGATGCATAACCAAATGTCTTCATATTATCATAAAATAATATTTTATTTTATTGAATTTATTCTTAGAGTAATACACATTTAATATTTATTTATCTATTTGATATAGCATAAGGATAAAAAAGCTGGTAAGTGAATGTCGCTCTGCTGTACATTAGGGGGTGGGGTGGACCTCTGACTAGGGTAGGTTAGATTTGAATGCAATGATAGGTGTATCATTGTATACGAAAAACGATTCTGAACGGAAATGATTTGTCAGTCTAGGATATATTATATTTAAAATTTAAATATTGTCATATATTCTATTTTGATTCAAATATTTTATTTTTCAATTAGGACGCATTTTACATAAGGCATGTTTAATCAATTTTTTCAAAAACATTGCATGTAGTTATCATAATTCATAATAGGTACTTAATATTATCATAGATATACATGTACCTGATTTGAGGATAAATCGTTATCGTTACGCGATTTCATAAAAATTTAWAACTCAAACCCTCAAAACATTTTTCCTATTATGACGCTTCAAATTTTCTCTATAGCTATTTGAAGCAAAACTTATGGTAACTTAGTGTTGAATTTTTTAACCTTAGATATAAATACAAACAATTTTATGAATTTTGAACTACAAAATAATTTGCAAATATTCATGGTTTTGACGAATTTTATCAATATTTGAACTTCAAATGCTAATAAAAAAAAAAAATTGTGCCTATTTATTCTTATAATTTTTTAATCACTATAAGAATAACTTATGAGGATCTTTGTATTAAATTTTCGAGTATTTTGATAGGGCCAAAAAAATGTTATCGACACTTCAAAAAAAAATTTTCAGAAAAATTGAAAATTTCAGTTGTCTATAAATATCTCAAAAAAAATCAGAATATTTTGAAAATTAAATCATGTAAATAAAATGCCAATCTAAATAACTGGTAAAATTTTCAAGTATCTACAACTTATACTTTTTGAATAATAACAAATATTTAAAATCGTTTGAGGATAAATCGTTATCGTTACGCTATTTCGTAAAAATTTAAAATTCAAACGCACTTAAAATTTTTCCTTTAACGATGCTTCGAGTTTTCTCTATAGCTACTTGAAGGAAAACTTATGGAAAACTTAGTTTTGTATTTTTAATCCTTAGATATAAACGAAAAAAATTTTATGATTTTTTAACTTCAAAATCACTTGCAAATTTTCGCGTTTTCGACAGATTTCGTAAAATTTTGAACTGTAAACGCTTATAAAAAAAAATTGTGAATTACGATATTTAATTTTTTTTAGCTACAATAAGAACAACTCGTAAGGAACCTTGTATTAAATTTTCAAGTTTTTTTGGTGTCCAAAATTTTTTTACCGACACTTCAAAAAAAATTCTCATAAAAATCGAAAATTTCAGTGGTCTATAAAAAATTCAAACATTTTTRAAAATCAAACTGTATTTAGTTAACACTAACATAAACATTTGGTGAAAATTTCAAGTATTTACTGTGATTAGTTTTTGAATTACAACCATATAAAAAAAATCGATTTGGTCGAAAACTGGTTTTGCGTAAAAATTTCCGTTTTTCTGTCATTTTTTTTTTTGTTTTTCTCGATTCTTTTGAAAACTGTTGGAAAATGTTTACTTTTGACGTCTATATTGCACTAAGGATATTCACTTTTCCATCGGAAACCACCCCTAAAGTTTGAAATTTAAGCATTATTTCGACTAGTTATGCTGTACACAGACATAAAAACAAAAAAAACACACATCATTGTAAAATCAATACATTCATCACTCCGTTCAGAATCTAAAAAATGTTTTTACGATTTCAAAACAAATAAAAGTACACAAATAGACATGCATTAAAATTATCATAAGACAGTTCTACATACATTTTATGCTCAGCCAATTATTAGGTGTGATCTAAACTAAACTTAAAAATAACGCTTTTGAATTTAATAATTTAATAAATATCTACAGAATATAATTAAATTAAATTCCACAGTCCATCCTATATATAAGTCCAATATCCCACTTTAGTTTGAAGTTTCTATCCATTATTATACAAAAACACAAATCAAATTAATGTTAATTCTATGTTAGGTTTTACTGACAATATACTGAAATGTTTATTGTCAGTAAAACCTAACATGGTTTGAAATAACTGTACAACTATTGAACTATATAAACTTTGTTTAAGTGTTGCATAATTATATTGTATGTTTCAGAAAACCATTGGCGATAATAACTCTTTGATCATAGGACCGGATAGTTATGATTCATTTGTTAATGGTACTATAATGTTAATCTATAAGAAATATTATGTTATATTAAATATATTAAATATTTGATTACAGGTGTTTATGACGAAGTTGGTCCAATAGATATCATTCAAGATCCCGTATGTCTTATTTAATATTATTATGTAGTATATATAGTCACCATGACTCTAAACCATAATTTTAATTTATACTTTAGTTAATTCAAGCCCTACAACACAACAGAAGTTTAGAAAGTGCTTTGCTTGAGAAAAAACAGAACACACTTAAGACAAAAATGGACCAACAACAAGGTCAACTGAAAGAAATCCAAACCGAGTTAAATTCACTTTCTTCAAATGCTAACACACATTTTCTAGCTACAGATTTTTCTCACTTAAAGGTATATTATTATTGTTTTTCTAGATACTTTGATAATAATATATGTATTATAATGTTTATTTTAGGCTGAACATGAGCATCAACAACAAGTGTTACGTGAACTACAAGGAGTACATAAAAACATTGGAGTGTAATCATCAATATTATGTAACCTAATATTTCACTTGACAAATATGTAAGTGAGTATATAAACGTTGTTAATCTCTAAAAAAATTGATGTGGTTCACAATAAGTTGGGTGTAAATATTTTACCTCATCATCATAATGGTAAAATAATGTCTGTTGTGTAATGTGTATTATTGTCTGAGATAAAACCACTAAAAATAGTATTTTGTCACAATTGGTTCATGCCCCACCACACATCACCACGTAATTTGTGCTGTCTAATATAGTATGTATACAATAAGCATTTAGTAGTTGATCGGGGCAAAGAAGTCTTGTGTCTACTGGAGTAGGCTGTAGTATAATGAGTAGTAACTTAATCTCTTTACACCTAAACAAATAAAATATAATTGTTTGCAATTCAGTGCCTATCTGATAGCTTTTTTTTATTAATAATTTTTAAATTATATCAACTTATAATGCTGACAAAATATCATAGTTTAATTAAATTTGTGATCTTCATATATAATTTTCTTTTTTTTTATCAATATTTTGAGTGTTTATTATTATATATATTATATAATATATTACTTCTCATAAAACTGTTAAAAAACACATTGTACATATTTAGCCAACATTTTTATTCAGTTAAAAATTTAAAAATATCTCTGTAATTCAATTAACATTTATTTAACTTTTAAAATTATATTTTAGGGGATTCAWGAATTCGATACTGACCTCAGTAAAGGAAATTTCTATATTACTTGTATGCACGTGTGTATAGTAACTGATTATTAGTGTAAGTGACTTCTGCACCACCGACTAGAATTAAACACTCGTGCATGCTCATACACTTGTTGATGTGTACTATGACTACTATGTTGCACGTGCGAGCAAATTATATTGATCAAAACATCCATCCCTAAAGATGGACATCTTTTGTCCATCAGTCCAATGAACCTAATAATGTGATAAGACTTTTAAAATCTGTTTTGAATTTGTCATTATGTCTTCTTGAGATCTTCCGATCCACTTTTTCAAATTTTGGCCCCTAATTATCTTTTGAATATGGATTTAAATATTTTGAAATTTAAAAAAAAAGTAAGTTTTGATTACATTGAATTAAAATTGTAAATTTGAATAAAAGGATCGGCCGATCTCAAAAATTCATAATAACACATTYAAATCAGTTTTTAAATTTCTTATCGCGTCATCGGACTGATCAAAAGAATGATATGATTTAGTCAAAAAATTATCGGTATCRAATTCCCTTAAGCAACCAAAGTAAAAGCTTAAATTATATTTTCCGCATAAAATTTGAACTTGACAAATTGTTTATTATTTATAGAGTTCATTATGAAAATTGTAGATCAAGTGTCGTCACAATTAATAAAAGTATATTATATTTTAATTGTTTTTTATGTTGGTTTTTCAGTTGGTGTAATATATTTCCGTTCTCGTGATAATGCTTTCTTAAGAAATACAAATTAAATCCAGAGCGTCATAACCTATTTAAAACTATAAATTGTAAACTACTTGTTAATTTGTATTTATATATATTTATTTTTTCTTTTAACTTAAATTTGTTTAGTGTCATTTGTCTTATTCCTAAGTTATCTATCTGTTATAGTTATAGTTATTATTACTATTATTATTATTTTTATTATTATTATTATTATTATTATTATTATTATCGTTACCTAGTATTTATATGACACTACTATAAAGTAGTTACAAAGGCTCCTAATTTTCTTTACCTTTTGTTGTTTTGTTTTATATTCTTTTATATGGCAGATGCTCAAAGAATTTAATAATGACTGACTCGTGTTCATTATAGTACATTAAAAAAAAAAATTTTGTAATATTTTAATAAAGTTATCAACAAATCCAAAAATATATTTTTATAACATTTCAAATACAATTTTTTCCATACACACTTGAACAGGTAAAAACTTAACAATAACAAAAAAAAATAAAAATAATTTATCAGTGCCATGAGTTTCCTCAATGTCAACATAAAATGATCTTAAAATTATATGTTACCACAATATCATCTTTTCCATACATAATATTAAATATACTGTATTTACTATATTAGATTTGTAACATGTTAGTAATAATTATAATTTACTGTTTTGTATCATTAAAAATTTTGATAATATATTTATATATATACTATAAGTGTGCGTGTGTATGTGAGTATCTATATATACATATATTATCTAGTACAAGTGTTCTCTAATTTATAATTTGCCCTTATTATATTGAACATTTTAATACAAAATTAATTTATAATTCATGTCCAATGATTTTTATACAATTCATATATATTATATATAATATTATTTTATTTTTAATTATTATTTGTTTATTATTATTTTAATTTTTTTTTTTTTTATGTGAAGACTGAAAAGCAAAACATTAAATGTTATAATATTAGTTTAATGTGTGTCAAAACATAATTTTTAAATTATATTGTTTTCTATATTGCTTCTATTGATTTGTACGTGTCACGATATTATTTAATATCAATTACATTATATATATATATATATATATCCATATATTATATATTATACACAGTGATAAATTGTATTTGTTTATATCCTTTATTCTATATTATTATGGACAGCTATTTGAAAGCATATATTTGTTGTTTTTGCGTATTAATCGCATGACAAGTGTTTTCTTCTATAATTAATCTTAATCTACTTTACAAAAAAATAATTTTAAAAAAACTTCCTTTTATTCTTAATATAGTTATTATGTGAAGGTAATGTATTTTGTCAGTTATGTATGTAAATTTATCTTCAAAATTTTAATTGTAGACCCATATTACCACTTAATATAAATTTGTCTAGTGTTTCTTACATAATCATTAATCATCAATGTAAGCTTCTTGAAAAATTTCAATATCCTAATGAAAATGTGGCGGCAATGCATATCCATTTCAAGCTGAGATATTTCAGTGAACTTTTGCACCCATCGCTCATGAGTCATTTCCAATTTTCTCAATAGAATTATTAAATTAAATAAGTTGCTTTTACATTAAAACATATGTATTTAATTCATTTTTTTAAATACAGTTTAAAAATTAAAAAGTTGCATGTTACTACTAGACATATTTTCTTTGTAAAGAAAATTGATTAATCTTAGATTCTTATTATAGAGTTTTTTTTATACATTTTTTATTGTTTATTTGGGTTTCTAACACGATAAATAAAACGTTATTCAACATCGGTTTGAAAAAATAGTATCTAGTCCAAAAATATGTATGTTAAATAATAATCTGAAACCTACTGAATAAATATTTTTTATATTTGCACAACTTATATCAATTAATATTGATACCTTAATAGTTATATTATAATTATTTTAAATTGAACAAGACCACAGTATAGAGAGATTTTAAATTAGTCACTTTTCATACAATATAAATAGCATATAAATACTAAAACATA